ATTAGGACAACTCGTCACGCTTTAACACAACTTCTCCGTTTGACATTGACTTACATCTGAGAAAACGACGCAAATCATTCATTTTTATTACCAGGCTTTGCTTTGGACGTCAAGATAAAAATAAAAGTTAACACACAAATCATTTTAATCTTTACATAAACATTAGATAGCGACATTCCAAGTCGCTATACAATTTCTTAATTGACTTAGACCAATTTTCATGACTTAAAACTTATTTGTATATTCCATTGATTTCAATAATCTATACTTTCAGTTAATATTCTTTAAAGATAATATAGTTACTTATCTAAGTCAGAAGTATAAAGGATTTTAACTGGTTAAGAAGCTTACTTAATTCGAACTTGACATAGTATCAAGTTTAGTATCACGTGATAATGTACGTAACATATCGACATAGTAAATTCTTGCACCGCAACCAAATTTACTGCAAAAACCATCGACCAGACATCTAGCTTATCCAAGATATTAAAAAGTTACAAGTATATATAATAAAAAATAATTTTATAACATTAGATTCGGTGTAACTTACCGTGCATTAAGTAGACATAAGGAACACTAAGCTACTGCTATGGTCGCATAAACTCAATAACAAGACAATTCCTCGCATTCGCTTTAGAGAAAACGGTACGAGAGTCTCGTAACATACGACACGATGACAAAGGCACTTTCCACTAAATACAAACTTCCACAATGCACTGATGTAGCACTAATTCCGCTATAACAACACTTGGAAGCTTACACACGTTTCTTCACAGTTATCTGTTAAGGCACAGGCGTAACAGCGTGAAGCAATATCACCTTCGAATCGCAATGCGAAATTTGAACGGCCGACGAGAGTTCGCTTAAAAGCGACAGTTAAACCGACTTTACCGGTCGAAAACGTTCCAAATTAAACTTCGGAAAGATGTTACTGTATAAAAAGCGACGCAAGGTTTTTTAAACACGAGTGAGCTGCGCGGGTGGCGCGAGCAAACTGAGGCGCCGCCGTACTGCGGAACGACGCGTCCGAGCGCGTGGACTTCAAACCCATTACACTGCTAAGTTAAATGATCGTCTACGAAGCTATAACTTGTTTTTGTATCGGTGTACCGTGTAAATTAGTAGGATAATAATTTGCAAATAAGCTCGTTGGCCACAAACATGGGCATATCAGGCTGACAAGGCTATCGCGGAATGACTGCAGGCGTGCAAGCTGCAATTACGATTGGGTCTGATCGCGTCTAGTGACGGACAAGTCGATATTGGCCAGCCTGCGAGATAACCGCATTCCTATTCACAGAGCAGGTGATTCTATCTACCACCATACTACACCTTTGTTAAAACAAATTTTAAACATCCACGAAAACGACATCAACATCAGAAACCACAATAACCGGAAAGAACTTCTGATATTCAAGAGATATTGAGTCGAATAAGTAAATTATTTATGACAGGAACCGGATTTATTTGTCTGAATGTTGCTATATAAAGACACTTTTAACAGGTTTCATTTATAAGTGACAAAACTAACCGTTATTCAGTAAATTGCAATCACAGGCAGTCTATTCAATAAGCAAAACTTCAATCCGTCTTGACCGGATGAAAGCATTTATTTCCGTAGACGCAGACGCGATTATAACACCAAGATAATATACGAGTAGTCTTTGACACAATTATGTCTCAAAACAAAACTTATTCAAAGTAACCAAGTTAAATAAGTTGTTAAGTAAGATATTCTATTGAGATTTGTAATGCTGATTTAACATGACTTTATTGTTTATTTCAATCTTGAATACAAAAGTGAATGGTAAATCTGTGGAACTTGATCTGTAACATACGAAAACGGGCAATATATAAATTTAAAATAAATTAAGAAACAACGTGTCTTGAAAATAAAATTCAAGAGTGTTGCCAACGTCAGCATTTGCGTATTAAGTCGGTAAGACTAAAAATATCTAACAATTACCATAAAAAAAATAATCGAAAGTAGCGATGCGTATCAAATACCAGTCGTCGGTAACTCTATAAAATTACCATAAGCCGAGACTATTAAAGAATTATGGTTTATAACAACCCGACAATTCTACATTATTTTGTTTTTTTATTTTATTTATTTCACAAGTTTGCCAACTCTTTGGTAATTCAACTATCATGTCTGTTAAAAATTGCTACTAAAAATAAATTAGTTGCAAGTTATTTCATTAATTTAACTTCTACGAAGGATCATTATTTCTTAGTATACTACAAAAACTTAGTTATGAATGTTTCTATTGCTAATCTTTACTAATATAATAAAGCATAAACAAACACTACTTTGTGACATAAGATGTCAGCAATCACAGCACATTTTTGAATAATTCTTTCTTTAATAAAAAGCCCTACACATACGACACGCTTTAGGCTATATATTTTTACGCTCTTAAACTTGGGGAATATATAAATTGGAAAAACCTTCATGTGGGAATGGGACCATAAACCACAAGCTGCCAACATTAAAAAAGCAAGGTTACCGTGGTGTGTCATCGTGTCATGTCATTTTGACATGTAAACAAAGTAAAATGTTCATATTTTTATGCGGATGAAGCCGCACGGGAACAGCTAGTTAATTAAAACAATACAAAATTGATCTGTATAACCGGCCCTGTTAAAGTACAGGTGGAGTTAAGGTGCAAAATAACTACACATGTGAACTGGCTGCTAAATGCTATTCCATCCCGAGCTGGACCAACAACTACATAAAAAATAACCGCAACGTTTTACGTACACGCGCCATTAGCTTTACGCTTAAGAATATCGAATTAATGTAGCGAGTACGTATTAATTACGATTAATTTACCGCTATACTAAAACATATTGATATTTTAAATATTTAAGTAAATTTTATAATCGTTAAGTCATCTGAAATTAGTGTGGAAATCGGATTAGCAAACACATCTGCCTCTACTTCAATTTCATATTTCTAAGTATTGAAAACAATTGTCAGAGTAAATTATGCATCTATCCATAATAACGATGGCGCCGGTCTCAAAATATATTTTATATATTTCCGGTATTGGTTAGAAATACAAAAGCATTTGAATCTGATGACATTAATATTTGTACCACATAACGATGGAAGTTCAAGAGGAAATACAAAAAAGTGCATTTATATGATAAGCTAATATTTATGGTTGTTGAAACTGTGTGAACATGAAACCGAACCGGAAAACGGAAAAGCGGCGAATGTCAATTAATAATCACTTATAATGCATTTCAATATTTATTTATTTAAAAGCGTATTCTGAACATGATGACTTGAAAGGGAATACAAAGCGAAAGTTCTATTTACTTAACAAATGACATGAAGACATCTAAATAAATTGTAAAACGGAAGTTTGGTGTGAATACACAAATATAGGAAAAGTGTTTGAAAAAGGAAAGTGTATTGATGTGCCGACGTTTTGTAAACAGGCACACGATAAATAAATCAATCAACTTTTACTTTGTAAAAAGAAATTTATTACAAGCAATCATATGTATATCTTCCTAAACGATTATCTTACTTTAGATGGATGGATGAAGTATATCCAGAACGGCTAAAATGATCGCTGAAAGGCATAGATTTAAAACATAATAAGGAATAACACACAATTAATAAGATTTTAATTTCATTTCACGAGGACATAGTCGCGTGAAACAGCTAGTTAACTTATAATAAGTAAATAACAAGCTTTTTTTTAACCACAGTTAAACATTATCTCCTTAAGAATTATTCTAAAGTTACATTTGTAGGTACATTACATCGTTACCTAAATAATTCTACACCATGTGTTGAAGAACTCCTACAAAGATTACAAATTAGGTCAGTTATCGAATAACACATACGTTTACGTTCACGGCTTAGCAGTAAAACTGTGAATTGCCAACCAGCAATTACAACTGATGACTCGCTTGAATAATCGTCACGATGTCAACTAACCATACTGCATTTTGCATCAGACATCAACAATATTAAATATCACTTATATTAAAGTTAATTTACTACAAGCTAACTGAGATCTATCCATGCTTGTAATTTCGTTACGGGTTCTTTCATTAATTTATAAATTTAAGATAAAATTGTTTGGTAACACAATACAGCCCTAACAACAATTAACAATGTGGCAACCCTATTGACTATAAACTGTACTGATATAGGTGGTCGTTACGTAACAGGTTGATCGAGCTATAATAGCGAAATAAATGATAGCATCAGGTCGCTACCCACGTTCCTAACTACACCCTACAGCGATCCCGTAAGAGGCGTGCCCGTAACAAATGACGGAGCGCCTGCTCTTGACGAGGACATGCGCATGCGAAATCAATAATTACACGATCATCGTACATGTTAAAGATGTATAATTGCATAACAAATTTACATAAATAAAGTGACAACCTGTGCAATTTGCAGGAAGACATAACAGCGGCATCTCATGATATCTTAATGCCTGAGTAGAACGATTGCAGGATGATGCAATATAACATGTTAATTATAACTAAAAAAGATAAAATATAATTCTTACTATTTAAGTTAGTCATCTAATAGAAGATGGCGGCTTTTATAGTGGTAGTGCCCGCTTTAGCATCTTAGCACGAATGGGCCGGCACGCCCGGTCTAATACCACGACCACACAGAAGACGGGCGTGAAATGGAAGCAATTCCGTATTTCGTCTGATAAGTGTGGTGCCGGAGGCCTAATTTAAGTCCCTTTCTCTTTACCACCCTTTTCTTATAAGGAGAGGATGGGAAGGGGAAGTGGATTTGACAGAGGAGGAGATACATACGAAGGGGAAATATCCTCTTTATGTGCATCTCCATCTCTGTCGGGTAAGGGTAGGCAACGCATCTGCAATTGCGGATGTCTATGGGCAGCGGTCGCTTCGCCATTTTAGCGGTTTTAGGTGGCCCCTGGCTCGTTTGCCACCTTTTGTTACAACAAAAATGTGCAAGCTAACTATTTCACAGATACTTTCTCTTGCACACAAGATAAAGAACGAACAAGGAGACATACGTTAAATGATGAAAATACCAAGCATCATGTAACCGAAGACTGTAAAGAAAAGATTATAGATAAGTAAAGACAAATTACATTTTGATACCAAATACGGAACACTTAACTATCCCTTACAAGACTGATAGTTCAGCCAAGCTTAGCTTAACCTCTTCCTTTACATGTACGGAGATATATAAATTGTATTTGGTTTGAAACGCATCAGTTACGTTTGCAGAAGTTGCAGCGATAACCGAGCATTATGTCAAAACAATAGCTCGCGAAACAACTAATAGGTAAATCGTGATTGTGTACCAGGTTTGGTAAACTTGAGAGTCGCATTTTTAGTAGAAATAGATCTAGCTATTTTTTAACATTTGAGATACACGGAATTTAATAAAAAGATCACACAAATAAAATTAGTCTAAGAATCGCAAAAATTTAACTAAATATTTTACATCAATATTATGAACCCAGAAATTGCAGTTCCTATGACTAGATTTTCTAATCATCATCATCATCAACCCCTTTGCCCTTGCCCTTATCCCTTATGGAGGGTCGGCATGTAATGCTCTTTCATACGTCTCTATCAGCCGTCATATCTGAATCTACTCCTTTCTTAAGCATATCCTCTTTCACACAATACATCCATACTTTCTTCGGTCTTACTAGACTTTCTAATCCAAACTAAAAATTCCACTTACAAAAGTAAAGATTCGAAAAGAATGCGGGTAACAATTTGTGATAACTAACACATTTCAAAAAATTACCTAGAGTAAAATCCCCGACAAAATAAAATATTGGACAGCCCTGAACGACTTAACGGCTCGCGTGAGGGACCGCTACTCTAAAAGCAGCGTTTACCTGATAGAAATCATCTGTTACAATTATAGCTACAAATAATAAATTAAAACTTCTGAGGTTAACACTATCTCATAAATAACATTGAAATTAAAGGAAATACAATTCTTGTTGGTAGGACTACTTACTAAAATAAACGGGAAAAT